TGAAGGTTATATGGCGGTTGACGGCATAAAGCACACATTAAAAGAAACGAAAACCAATATGCCAAAATATTGTTGTGTTTTTGGCTGTCGAAATAAGGCAGACAAAGAAAAAAACCTTACAACTCAATCAGCTGTCAAACATGACGGCATTCTTCAGTACTCCCATCTTCCCCCTCAATGACGACTTAAGTACATAGATTTTGTAGCCAGCCGTACATAAGAAGCTAGCGGTCTAGTATATTATAGAAGTCTGTGTAGCGATCTAGTATACTATAGAAGTCTGTGCGTAGAATCTGTGACATAGCGTTATTTGAGTTGTCTCCCGAGTGGGGAGTCCCTACTCCAGGTGCTGAAAGACAGAGACAAAGATTCGGATGAAAGCATTTGTCTCCGAAGTTTGACTCACTTCCCTTCTCACACGCGCAGTTTATTTTGTATACGTTTATGAATACAACATCAACAGTTATCGTGGTGGTGCCCTTTGTACATGTAACTTTAACACCGTTATAATCACGAAGAACAGACTTATTAATACGCCAACGAGTTATCGTTCATTACGCAATTATCGTGTCAAAAATGATGTACATACTTGCGGTTTTGGCACTAACAATTAGCATCTACTACTTTACCAAGAACATTAATCACTTCAAGAAACATGGTATACCGTACATTCAACCCCTTCCCGTGGTGGGAAATATGGGACCGCTGTTTTTCCATCGTCAAGCAGTAAGTGACTTTGTGCAATCGTTCTATAACGCATATCCCGATGCGAAGTACATCGGCGTGTACGATTTAACCAAACCGGTTATTCTGATTCGAGATCTCGAACTTGTCAAATCCGTAATGGTGAAAAATTTCAACACTTTCATGGATCACATTGATTTCGTCGACGAAACGCTAGATCCCCTTATCGGTAATCTACTCATTGCTCTTCGCGGTGAGAAGTGGCGCGAAGTGCGATCTGTACTAAGTCCGGCCTTTACGTCCAGCAAAATGAAAAACATGTTCAAGCTGATGTCGGAGTGCGGCATCGACTTCTGCGATTATCTGCGGCAATTATCACCGGAAAATAGAATGACGGATATGAAAGATGTTTTGTCGAGATATACCAATGACGTAATAGCTACGTGCGCATTCGGTATCAAAGTTGACTCATTAAAAAACCCGAACAACGACTTTTACGTATATGGCAAAGAAGCAATCACTGTCAATCTTGTTGTTGTTTTGAAGTCCTACTTACAAAGGAGTTTACCTAGATTAGGACGAATAATATCGTTGAAACTTATTCGTGATAAAGTAGTAAATTTCTTCCGTTCTATTGTGAATAAAACGGTGAAATCAAGAGATGCAAATGGCATCGTTAGGCCGAATATGTTGCAGTTGATGATGGATACCAGAAATAAGGAAAGCAAGACGAAACTGACTATCGACGATATGGTGTCTCAGGCGTTTATCTTTTTTTTTGGCGGCTTTGAAACCACTTCTTCAACCATGTGCTTCGTCGCATACGAGATTGCAGTGAATCAGGATGTACAAGAAAAACTTCAAAGCGAGATTGATCGGGTCTTGGAAGTGACAAACGGAGAAGCGTCTTACGAAGCGATCAACTCTATGGAGTATTTGGACGCTGTGGTCAACGAAACACTTAGAAAGTATCCCATCGGTAGAATACTTGATAGACTATGTGCGGAAGATTTCGAGCTGCCTTCGACATTGCCGGGAGTGAAGCCGTATACTGTGAGAAAAGGACAAGGCGTGTGGATACCGGTTTATGCGTTTCATCATGATCATAAATATTTCGATGAACCAAGCAAGTTCAATCCTGAACGTTTTCTTGGCGAACGAAAAAAAGAAAGTCTCAATAGCGGAGCTTATTTTCCTTTCGGACTGGGACCCAGAATGTGCATAGGTAACAGATTCGCGTTGTTAGAGACAAAAGTTTTATTCTTTCATCTGCTAGCACGTTGCGACCTGAAACCTTGCGAGAAAACATCGATACCGCTAAAAATGTCTAAACAATCTTTTAATATGGAAGCCGAAGGAGGCATCTGGCTGAATGTGACTCCAAGAGAAACGCCTCATCGCACTATTTCTGAGAAAACTACTTTGTAAGAATACTTTCTTGATTTACATGATAATAAAAATCTTGAAATTTGTAAACATTTAAAGAAATATTTCTTTTTGTGATTTTCTTTGTGATTTTAGATGAAATTTATTTCCGGAATTTATCAAGAAGTATACTCAAACTTTAGGCGCAGTCTAGATATAAAGATGTCTGGAAATATAAACCTCAGAGATATGAGTAATTATATATAACGCAAATCACGTATAAAATATGATATATGATATTTTTGTAATAGATGATTTATTTTTTTATAAAATAAAATAATTTATATATTATATACTCTATAATGTAAATGATTACTTTCATATGATACACTATATATGATTGCATATTTATATATATATATACAGGGTGTCCCAGAATTGCCGTACAATCGCTTGTAGGCAGGTAGAAGGAGTAAAACTGAGTCGAAAAGTCTTGAACCATTTTTTTCTATTATTTATAATAAAGGAGTAATTATTGAGTAAATCAGGCCAATCAGCGCAGA